GACAGCTGAGTGGAGAAAATGTGATGTGAGAGCAAGAGCCGAGAGGAATGAGGAGAGGAGGAGAGAGGTAAGGAGGAGAGGAAGCAACCAGAAGGAGGAGAGGAAGAAGAGTGGAGAGGTGATGAGGTTGGATGTGATTTAAAGCTGTGATACATTTCAGACCTTTTAAGTGCTGTCCATATTTTCCATCTGATAAGAAGATTGAAACTATTCAGTCAGGTCCCTATCTCACTCTGTGTGTGTGTGTGTGTCTCCTTACAACCCTTTTATTCATTCACACGCCATGTTTAGTGTGTCTGTGTAAAGGTTGATCTGAGTTTTACAAAATGAGGACACATTTGAAAATGAGAGATATTTTTAGAAAGAGGACCTCTGTGAGTCCTCCAGAGCTCCTGTGTGGGTCACCGGTTTGGGGCTTATTTAGTACATTGTGTCAAAATCAACATGAGAGCAAATGAGTGCTAACAAACCGCAGCATGAAGTTTACAGGCTTATTAAACATTACTGAGACAGTATTTCACTCCTCTGGGAGGGTATCAATAACCTTATTATAAATCATGAAAACTGTGATCAGGATTACGATTAGGTTAAGGTTAAAGGTTGAGGTCAGGGTGAGGGGCGTTATGTCCTCTTGTACCCATGAACACTTCACACACAGCACCAACCAGAGAACAAGTGCCCTGCAATGCAGCAGAAACCATAATTAGTATTTCAAACAGGGCTTTTCTTTCTCTCTCTCTCTCTGTGTTAGGATGGATGGAGGGATGGGAAGAAATAAAAAAGACAAAAGAGAGAGAGAATCACAATAAAGTGCAGATAATAAGTCTGAGGAAAAACGACACCTTAATTCCCTCTTAATGCTTGATTGGGAAGCAGCGAGGCATGTGCATGCAAACGCACATATATGCACACACCCCACTGCACACATGCACATAAAAGCACGGCTGGAGAGTAATAGGCTGGAGCTGAGCCGGGCAGAACGAGAATACGGAAGGGAAGGAAGGGAAAAAGAAGGATGAAACATGAAGAACTGATGCCTTCTACAGATAAAAGAGAAAGAAGAGGACAACAGAGGTTTACACTTGTTACTGGACATTTATCTGGTTCATTCTCAGAGCTCTGATCCAACGGTGAAACAAACTGATAAATTCACTGGTCAATGAAAAGGCCAGGCTGAGATTTAACCGGGCCCCTGTAACCTTTCGCCTACCTCCCACTGTGCAGTTTGTATTTGTCCCATTATGTCCAGAGCAGCCATCGATGTTCAACGACATGTTTAAATAAACTTTTATTAGCAATAAATATATTATGTGTTACATATTCATTGTTTCTCCTGTGTTTACACCTTTATTGCAATGAGAAATGTTTAATATTTTAATTTGCTTTCTTATTTAAAATTAGTTTATGAAAGAAACTTCAGTAAAGTTTGGTAGAATCAAACTAAATTAGTTCCATTAGCAAATCTCCTAATAAATTTACATTTAATGAAATAACCACACTGCAAAAACTCAACTGAAATCTAAGTAAGATAAAATATCTTAAATCAAGGCAATATATACTTGTTTTTTGTCTGACAAGATATTTTTCCTAAGCAGGCCATTTTATGTGAGAACATTTCACTTATTTCAAGCTTTTTTATCCTATATTATCTTGATAAGTTATTATACCTCGTTAGTGAGATTTTATTACTAGTTCTGAGTATCTTAATGCTTGAAACAAGATTTACAAAAATTATAAAGCTGTTTGATCAATAATGACAAGTACAAAACTGCTTTGTTGAAGTCATGATTTCTTATTTTAAGCATTTTCCTTCTCATCTCTTCATATATTAAAGACAAAAGGCTATGGTTGAGTGGAAAAAGTTCATTACTGAATATGGCTGCACTGCACTATTTTTTCATTTCTGGTCGCCTTAACAGAACTTTGTATTGGCCAATTTGATAGCCTTTGGTAACTCTTGCCATAGATCTTAATTTTCGTTTGTTTGCCCACTAATGCCTGTTATGTTGGTTATGTTACATTTTAAATGTTTTTTTATAAATGTTAATTGGTGGGGGTTTTTTTTGTATGTTTTCTGGCATCAGAAACTATAAAGAGTCTATAGAACCAGGCAAGATATTTATAGGGGTGATGTACAAAACCATGGCCAGAAACAGCCTTGTGTTCTTTTGTTGCATTCTTTGTTTTGTCCATATGCATGCGGGGTTCATAATAAAGAGGTGACAAAAATGTATTTAAATGGATTTCTTTCTTTCAAGATAGTTGTAAACCATTTGATGATAATTTAAGCATATTTTCCTACAAATTGAAAAAATAATTCTTAAATCTTTTCTTAGTATTTAGATAAATGTACTTGTTTTTAGTCTAGCTTTACCGGTTTTAAGATATAATTCCTACATATATAGCCTTATTTAAAGACAAAGACACTAGCAATTGCTAAATGTAAGTACTTTTCCCATATACTGAGAAAATAATTCTTAAATCTTTTCTTAGTATTTAGATAAATGTACTTGTTTTCAGTCTGGCTGCACTAGTGTTAAGACATCTGTGGGTTCTTTGAGACTAGATATGTTTACTTGTTTTAAAAATCTTAGCAAGTGAAATTTTCCTGTTCTGTTGGCAGATAATTTTGCTTATTTTAAGTCAAATTTACCTCATTTTATTACTTTTTTTTCTTGTTTTTGAGAGCTGACTTTTTGCAGTGCAAAACCTGTCGGCTCATTGTGGATTTCTTCTGCCCACTAGTGGCAAAATTGATTAAGGCGCCTTTAACATATTTAAAAATACATTTATTTGACTTGACTAAGACTAAGTCTCTCAAAGCAACAGGATAATATGAACTGGATTAAGCTTGGAAAAACTATCAGTCCACAATTTTAAATTGTAATTGTTCTGGAAGGACACGTTCAGACAGGAAATGCCACAGAAGGAATCAACGTGAAGCAAGATAGACTCTGGACAGGAAGCGACTTATATGTATTCAGATAACGACGCGGCAGATTATCACTTCGTTGTCTCTGTGCGTGTATACGTGCATATGCATGAGGACATGGATTTGTGTGTGGATCTGTACTCAACATGTGGGTGTGTGTACGACAGCGGCAGCAGACATAGGTCATGGCCCTGAATGTGAACTGACCACGTCCACGGTTCCACATCCACAGCTCTGTTTGTGTGTTCTCTGTATTTTAGACAGCGAGCTACATACAGTATTTATATCTTTGGAGTAGTCTCTGGAGTTTAAGAATCATGGCCTGGCGAGGTGGACTGGACAGATGGTTTTCAGCCACACTTGGTGGACCTGAGTGTGGCACCGCCCCCGTCCTCCCCAGCTTCTTCGTGCACGTCTCTTTTTCTGATTTCTGCTGCTCTTGCTCATTTCTGTTCTTCTTCCATTTCTTTTCATATAACAAACTGCATCTTATCGTCTTCCCTTCTTTTCATATAACAAACTGCATTTTTTCCTCTTCCCTGTTTTTCCTCACTAAAGCTCACCATTCTTCTGCTAATCCTCCTGACCGCTCCTTTCCTGTTTTCTATTCTGACCTTTTGTTTCACAGTTTTCCCATTCCTTTATTTCTTTCCTTTCCTTTTCTTTCTCTACTCCTTCCTCATGTTTTCTTATAATCTCAAACCCCACTAATCTTTGGCCATTTTTCTTTTCTACAGTTTCTCTCTGCTTATTTTACACCAAACCCTTACATTTTTAAGGGAATTTCACATTTTTTGTGATGATCTGTCCAGATAAGAACTTCAAATTAAAACAAGGTGAATAAATTGGCAGTTCTAAGTCTGTGGCTGAAACAGACTTTGCGGCCCACTGTGTGGCTTCATCACATACGGAAGGAAATGAAAAATACATTGTGGAAATATATATATCGCCATTTCAGTGCTCAGCCCGTCCATCCACCTTTTACACATTCAAATAAGATGAAATTCTTTTACTCACACAGGATTCACCAGCTTCTCCAGACAAATATTTTTAGCATCTCCTTCTCTTAAATTCAAAGAATGTGTGATTGCCAAGTGTGAATTTACATAATATTCTTCCTTCAATAAATGGAGATGCATAGCTCCTTTCTGCTTTGAGTCCTGTTTTATTTCATTCTCATTTTTAACCCTGTCATTCCCCAATCTCTCTTTTTAGTCTCCTTTCTTTTACAATGCAAAGCCCACAGAGGAACAGACAGAAAGAAAATACAAGTGAGGAGAGAAAGGAATAATAGTAATAATAAAAGAGGAACATGGGGACTAGGAGGAGAAAGTCAAGGACTCAGGGACAAGAAACATAGGGATGGGTTTGTTTCTACAAGTTGAATCACTCAAGTTTCCCAGAGTTGAATATCTTTTTTAGTGCTGTTGTTCAGGTAGCATTATGCTGCATTACAATAGCCCCCTCCCCCCCAGCATCCACCTGCAGGCTGAGAGTCCACGGTCCCTGCTGTGCTGAGCTTGGAGCTGCTGTGGGATAATGTCGGAGCCTAGACGTCAAAAATCACTGCTGCTGCATTCAGTTAATAAACTATTACATGTAAATTGTCTGATAAAATGTGAAATGTCTTTATTTTATTGAATATTTTTTTCTCCCCCTCAAAGAAAAGTCATTTCTGTCTGTTATTGTGCTTTTAAAAGAATAATTAAGATTTATTGCAAATTGGATCTTCCTACGTAGCTTTGTAATACCACTGTACTCAGCACAAACTCTAAAAATCTGCCCCAGAGCAGCACAGATACAAACTCAGTGAGTTTATCCAGTACCAGTGAGTTTCTCCCAGTATGAGTTTATATGTTACCACTGGATTAAAACAATCCACTGGTTGGGTGGGGTTTACCTATGAGAACTGGATACACTTAACTTCTATTGTGTCGGCACTACGTTGACAGTTGGGCCAGTTACAACCAGCTTTAGGTCAAGACAAACAAACTTACACTGTAAACTCAAGAAAACTAATTTAACTCAAATATCGGTGCCAGACTTCTCGTCAGCTTGCTGAGCAAAGACAAAATAAAAGAAATCACTACACAAAAATTCTGAAAAACAATTCAAGACAGTTAAATTTGAGCAAGACTGATTTAGGACTTGACAAGATGTTGAAAAGAAACAGCCACACTCAACTGAATCAATCACATTTTTGTGGTTGTCCCACTCACCTGTGTTGTAGTGCTTGGTGCAGTAGCGCAGGTCCTTCTCCTCTTTCAGTATGAACTGAGGTAGCGTCAGGCCGTCGGCCACCTGCACGGCTCCCTTCTCATCCCACTCGAATATGAGGTCGTTCATGGTGTAGCCGACTGGAGGAGGGAGCAGAAGGTTAGACTGCCGTCAGTGTGCCGGTCACTGGTTTTATGAACATGAGCTTTCAGTGAAAGGGGCATCGCTGCAGGCTTGGTGGGGTTATAGGACTAGTTCAACACAAACTGGAAATTCTGTTATCTGCCTATGACCATGTCATGAGCTGATGTTCAGCTGAAGTGCAGCCAAAATGAATTAGAAGTGAAATGTACTCAAACAAAAAACAGAATCTAGTTCTGTGGACACATATCTCCAGTTCCAGATCAGGTGAGGAAGGAACGGAACAAAGAAGGAAAGCAAAAAAAAATAAGGAAACAGAGAGAATTCATGAATGAGGGACGACATACCCATAAGTTGCAAGGGAACCTACATCTCCTGGTCTGCCCACACCACAGAGACCAACAAAAAGGCACAGCAGTGACTACACCTCCTGAGGGTATTCAAGACAAACAACCCAGAAAGTCAGCTGCTATTCAATCGCTCCACCACTAAAAGCATTGTGTCCTACTGTAGCACAGTGTGGTGTGCAGGCTGTTTGGTGGCACAAAGTAAAGCTCTCCAGAGGGTCAAACAGCACAGAAAACGATCGGCTGCTCACTGGCCTCAGCTCTCGCTACCTGAGCAGAGCCTCCGATCCAGATCACCGTCTGTTTGAACTGTTACCCTGTCGCAGGCGCTTTGGCTCTCTCAAGATTAAGGGACAGTTTCTTCCCATTAGCATCTTAGCACCAACTCTATAAAACACACTCAGGCAACTGACAGTCTGTGCAATGCTCACTCTGCAAACACTAGTTGAACTATTAACCTATCTCATTTAATCTAAATGTTTGCTTGTGTATTAAATATTTGTATTATAAGCAGCAGCATGTTGTTGTATGCAGTGCAACAGATAGATACTTTACTGATCCCGAGGGAAATTCAGGAAAGAATCATTCCCATACCGGGAGTCAAACTCGGGCCACCTGGGTGAAAACCACAAATCCTAACTGCCAGACCACAGAGACCCATTAAAGGGTTAATATACAGCAAGAATCTGCCGGCGACAAAGCCCCTCTCGCATTGCGTTTCTATGTGAGAAACAACACCTCAGCATCACCAGGTGAAGCCAGACACGTGGCCTGTAAGTTTCCTTTCTGCCTAAAATGCTCAGCACCAAAAAACAACAACCTCCACTCAAACGCCGTCGACTTCTGCTTCTTTTACTTCGCCACTTTCATTTGATTGTTGGACACATTTCTGTATCGCTATAAATGACACGGGTCTAATCACTGATGGTAGAATTAAATTTTTAGGTTGAATAGATTCCTTAAGAAATTTTTACAAAAAAGGTAAAATCACATTTCGACAATGTCAGTATTAATCTCACAGGTTAAAAATGAGCCTGTGATGTGCGCCAGTGTCTGTCACTTCCTTTTGAAGCTTCAGACAGACACTAAATATCAGTGTGGTACCCGTGGACACTCTATTGTTCTTTGGCTTTTTTATGATCACTGACCCTTTAGAGCGTATAAGAACAGAACTCTCTGAACTTCAGCTGCTATGTCTGTGATTCCTGTCACGTCGGAACAAAGATTGAAAAGGCCACAGAGAAATCTATATCACATCTCTCACCCTGCCAGCTGCCCAGTGACTGATACTCTCCACGCATCCCTGACTCCGACACCACACATCTCATTCTGCAGTTGTGTGGACAAATTCAGTTCGACACTATCACTGTGAGGACGCATTGTTCGGTCCTCGCACCGTCACAGGGCTGTTCAACGCTCAGGTTAAGGGTTGGGTGTTCGGTACTGGGTGTCACTGTATGAATACTCACAGCTCTCCAGCTGCATGATGCAAGTCTGGACGTCCATGGGGAAGTTCTTCAGATCCATGGGACAGGCCAGGACCAGTGTTATTCTGCAAACACACACACGCACACACACAGCAGAGTTTCATCAATGTTACTCAACCAGCCAGTGCAAGACACCAACAGGCTTGTGAAACTGATAAAGACAAATATATTTTCTTTTTGGGAGTTAAAATACACAAACAGAGCTGTGGATGTGGAACAACAACAAAAAAAATCGGTGCAGCCGCTGCTGTTATCCAGACTGAGAGGATGATAACAACAATAGCTTAAACTCATTACTGTCTTCCATTTGCATTTTGTTTTATGTTCACACAGGAAGCAGCAGAACACAAGAGTTTAATTACTTTACATGAAAAATAAAGAGCCAAATCCGCTGATATCTAATGTCCCATATTTAAAAGAAAACTAAATGATAAAAACAATTTGATGATATTGTAAGCTATACTAAAAAAACCTAAATTAGTTGTTTTGATGATGACAGATTTAAAAAGATTGACAGGATTAGTACTGAAACTAACAGCAATTTAATCAGTTTGCTAATATATAAAAGTTTAATTTGTTGAATCATTTATCAGGAAAAACTGACAAAGCTCCTTAAATGTGAGGATTTAATGCTTTACTCTGTGTGATGAAAGTAAATTAAATTCTGAGAGTGTTTTAATATCTCTGGGTGCTGGACAAATATTTTTAACAAAACTAATTATCAGTGGTATTAATTAAAGAAAAGTTTTGGAAATATTACTTTGATAAGACAAAACCACTTAGTCTTTTCCAGAGGTTTGAACTGTATCAGTGTTTGTTTGCTCATCGAAGACGTGGATCCTGAAAGTGACAACTGAAACATCACTGATGGGGTGATATGTTTAAAAAGCCCAGATAAAAAAACTTGCAAGGGGACCCTGAACTAAGATTGCTTTGTCAAAACATTAGTCATGTAACTGATAAAACTAATCCACTGATCAATAATGAAAACACTGTTACTCCACAGCTTTCCACGAAGCCTCATTCAGAATCAGCAAAGTTAATACATTAGTTATATTATTAAATATTTTAAAGGAGCAAATAAAATTTGTTTTAACTCTTTATCCATTTTCATATGAATTCATATACAGTTATAAAGTATGAAAAAGTAGATAAACAGTAGCACAAAGTCTAAAGGCACTTTAAACAGTAGATAAAGTACAATGAGAACACAATAAGAAATAATGTATGCTGCATCGGAGCTGTGTGTGCAATAGTCAGCAGCTGTATGGGTAATGGGTGTCCTCCAACCTAACAACGTCCCTACCTTTCAGTACAGCCCACCGGTCACAGGAAGGATCATAAATACATGGTTAAGATCGGAGAACCGTCATGGTTACACTAGGTTTAGGTACAAAAACGAACATGGTGTTTGTTAAAATAACCATCATTGTCACAGTTTCAATGAAAAACACATGGTTACGATTATGGAGCTGTCATGAATTAAAAATAAGAGCAATGTTTTACACAGGAATCAAACAGCAGCTTCCTGTGGGAAAGCCCTGTGTTTTCTGACCACATCACCGACCTTCTTCTTTTGCTTCTGCCATAATTACACCAGTCAGTAGAGGTCACCTGACTACAACACGTAACTGCTGGTTTAACAAGCTGCCTGCACAAACAGCGTACGGGCTCAATTTTTACAGGACAGCATTCACATACAACTCCAGCTTCCTTCTCATCCTACCTTCACCTAATACAAGTAAATAACACAACAGAATCTGTGAGTGAAGATCTGAGAGGCCAGTCACCACCTCACACAAAGAAGGCTGTCTCTGTTTGTTGAATTATTGGCTGGGTGGGACAGTGGGAGCCATAGTGCACTGATGTAAACCTTACAGAAAACACCAACAGAAATGTGACGTTAACCGTCACTGCCATGATTTCTCCTCTGCTGGAGGACTAAGCATGAAAACCTGTAGCTGAGCATGTAGCAGCATGGGGACAAATCTTGCTTCATACAAGACTGATCTGTGAAACCTAAAATTAAACTGTTCACCATGTCACGGTGACTCAGCTCGGGCACAGGAATTTATTACTGATGTCACATGAAGGAAATTTATTACCGCAACTTGTTTTTTCCTAGAAATTAATGGGAAAAATCTATTTTGTATAACTGATATGATGAATTGCTGAAACTGAGGACTTTCATTTTAAAATGAATTATACACATCTTATATATTATTACTGCTCCATTCCCCCTTTAGACTTCAACATTTTCTGCTGTAGAATGACTTTTTGGAAATGTTTCCACTGCAGAAGATGTAATCATCTGTATTTTGAAATAACACTGACCTAAAGAGATGCAACCAGTGATTATTTTCAGCATCAACAATTCAGTTGTTAATGTTGTTAGTTGTAAAAATGTGCAGTCTGCAAATGATCAGAAATTACAGCTTAAAAAGGCAAAATAAGATTTATTTAACCTTATTTGTGATTTTTCTAAGAGACTGCACCAGAAAGGAGATTTTACTACATTACATAGTATATACAGTATTTTTAATTATCAATAATAATCAATTCAGCAAAATGTTTACTTAGTTGTGCAGCTTCCAGCCACACAGCCTTGAACTTTAACTTTTAGACCAACATGAAGGAGAAGTCCTGCCAGAAAGATGGACATGTAAACCACATGAACTCACTCTGCTGCTGAAGACCAGCTGGCACAGCCAAAAGCTCCAGAACAGCTGCTAAATGAGCCGTGAGCTGATACTGTCGAGGATGAACTTTGAACCTCAACATCAACAGATTTGTTTAGATTATCTCAAATGCACCATTTTATAACAGACTAACTCCGCGGTGCCGTTCCATCCTCGTTACCCCTCATATGACTTTGAATTCTCAGATAGTACACGCTGATACGTAGCTGCTGGCGACAGCTCCCATCCATCACTGGACTAATCTCTAAATCACAAAGTGTTATCTTCAACGGTGCTAATTTCACAAAAAGAACCTGAAACAAATCCCCTCCCCCAGCTGCAGGGTCGCCGCTGTCAGCATGTTATTGTGATGTGCACGAGGAGGATTCACTGCACGCACTCAGTCCTTCTGTTCTGCTCTGCTGTTACAACACACACGTCCAGTTGGCCTCATGTACCAAATAAACTTTGCTGCGTCGGCACATTGTTACAAGTCCCTGACAGGATGCTGAATGTGTATTACACAAACGATGTCCCACTTTCCCAGAAAGCAGATTCAGTGCAGTGGTTTCTGTCTGCTGCATCGTGACACCTACATGCCAAATGCTGACAACGTTAGAGCCTTGCTCTATACTAGTAGTGCTTCAGAGGGAGAGGTGCTTCAGCGTTTGTGCTCCAGTATACAAAGGATTACATGGAAAATCCTACTGCAGGGTAAATGCACAAGTCGGTGACATCAACATTAAAGATATCTGATGAAATTTTTCTGAATGGTGACAAATAAATTGTGAGCTGACAGTGTTGCAGTGAGTTATGCTGAGCAGCAGCCTGATCCTCAAACCTTTAGCTTCCATTTGTTTCCAATTTGAAAACGTGTCACTTTAAAACACTGCTGAATGAGCTATTAGCGGTTCCTCTTCCTACTTTGCTAATGACAATAACACTTGTAGAAAATAAATTATCCATGTATCTCCAGAACCTTCCTGATAATCTGTATGTTTGCTAAGTGGGTTTGGGGAATTTATTCACAATGGACATCAGAGGTGATGATATCCTTGGAAAGTTACGTCACACTAAGAGCAAAAATCTGAATATCACGTCTGTGTTATGACTCAGAGAACAAGTATAGTTTTTGGATCACATTTTGGAAATCGAGCTCTAAGGGTTTTACACAGTCTCTGCATCGGTACCAGCTGCTGACTGTGTTAGTGAGGAGCCAGGTCAGTGGGCTGAACTACGATAACTAGCGTCTCCTTGCTTTTAGACCCTGTATCTTTGTCTCAGCATCTCCCTTCAACTCTCAACCTTCACAGTCTGTGTCTCAAGACCTTTTTGACGTTAAATCCAGGTATAATGCTCTTCTATTTAATGACAAAAGTCTAGACTAGTTACCTTGATAGAAGTTAGAAACAGACACAAAAACAACTTGGCTATGAGTGTAATCACAGAAAAAACAAAGCAATTCCATCTGCATTTGAAGAAAAGACGATGCCTGAACAAAGAACTATGAAAAGCTGCTGAGGACAGTCTCGATTTGATTTGATTTGATTTGATTTATTCTTTCAAACATGTAGAAACAAAAGATATCAACACACACATAATTACACAAATCCAACCAATGCTAATCCAGAATCAGTTTGCTATACCTAGTACATGTTTGAATGGAGTAGGAAGAAGTCAGACTTATCCAGTCCTACCCCATGACATCATCTTATACAAAAATTGATCAACGATGTAAAAATACGATTTCACAGTTTCCTCAAAATGCCAATTTTGCATCGTATCCTCTTTAATTTTTGAGAAAACACTGAGTGAACATGGAACTTTTCCCCAAAAAGCTCAGTAATAAAATATCTGACTTTAATTTATTCTAGATGCTCCTTGTGATATAGGAATCTGCCTGGGCCACATAAAACTTCACAGCAAACCCTGCATTTCTGTTTGACGTGCAGCAAGAGATTGGACTATAAGTGCATCTGGCTGTCCAATCTCAAAAAGTTCACTTTCATCTCGGAGCACACGTGACCATCGGTCCTGACTTCCCTTCCTAACTGCTTCACTGTTGAGCGATAAGCATCAAAGAATAAACAACATTTACAAGAACCACATTCTCCCGCTTACCTCGGGACAGTTTAATATCCCAAGAAGCCTCGTCACCCCACAGATCAAGCTGATCAACGGAGGGCTCATTCGGATGTTGTCAAGTTAAAAATATGAAAGCGAGCGGCAGAGGGGGTGTGTGGCTCTCATCTCTTTCCTGACGTTATTTATTAAGGTCCAATCTCACTCCCCCTCCTGTTGGACAACAGGTTGATAACAGATCAGACTTGCTGCTGGAATACTAACAGGCTGAGGAGATTACCATGGCTGCTGCAGCAGGTTCTCATTCGCCCCTGAGTGGTTGCAATAAAAGTGAGGAGGAGGAGGCAGGATAAAAAGGTTTGTCGGCTGAAGGCGGCTATAACTCTGAAGGCCTTGAATGGGATCTCTTGGAGATACAGGAAAAAAAAAGGAAGTTGAGTCAAGGAGGAAATAAAAACCTTCAACTCTGATGCAATAAGAGCATTCTAAAGCAGAGGATGAAGGTCTCTGGAATGCAATAAAAAGGAAGTCAGAACGGCGAAGTCACTCTCCCATCGCAGTGTTTCAGTATAACCTCCAAACATATTATCTTTCTCCTCCATCTTCTGCTAAGACTCTAATTGTGCTTTATAATTTTGGTCATTATGAGAGAGGTTTATTGTGTTCTACTTTTATTTAATTAGTCTGAATAGCAGTAAGAAATGCAGCATGCAGTTTTTTCCCCACACATTGTAGATTTAATTTCAAATTGATCAAGTTGCCATTTTGCCCATTGATCCACACTCACTAATCCATAGTGACAAAGTGAAAACATACTTTTAGATTGTTTTTGGGGGGAGGGGGGATTTATTAGAAATAAAAAGCTGAAACCTCCCCATTTACTAACCTATCCAGACCCTTAATTCAGTGCTTTGTAGAAGCCCCTTTGGCACCAGTTACAGCGTCCGGTCTTCTTGGATAAGTTATGTTTGCACACTCGAAGGCCAATCAAAGACAGTCGCAGACTTGTCCTGGAGCCAGGTTTGGCTGTGTGCTTCAAACTGTTGTGATGAAAGGTGAACATCGCCCCAGTCTCAGGCGGCCGCGCTCCGCAGCAGGCTTCCTTCATGGACCTGTCTGTATTTGACTTCATTCATCTTTCCCTTAGTTGTGACCAGTCTCCCTGTCCCTGCTGCTGAGGAGCCCATCTCTGCAGAGGGACCACCCGATTCTTGACCTTTGTAATAGAGCTTTAGTTTCTAACAAATCCTCCATAAACTGTTTTCAATTCAATTCACCACACTTGGACTCCAATTAAGTTATGGACACATTTCAAAGATAATTCAAGCAAACAGCATCTAACCACGATCTGCACAGCAAACCTTCTAGGTGCTTCTGGAAACAAGAGCTTTTAGCTTCATTTTGCAAAAAGACTTCCTTTGGTATTATGGGTTGTTGAGTGTTGATTGATGGGCAAAAATGGCAGTTTGATCGATTTTAAATCAAATCTATAAAGAAATAAACTGAAGGCGTCTAAGTATTTTCTGAAGTCACTGTACTTTGCATGTGAAACCACATGTTCTAAACATACCACCTCTTTTTAAACCAGCATTCAGACTGAACATGAAGTGAATTTTCACAGTAATCAGTTTAATAACCAGACTTTCTCACTTTTGGAATAAAAAACCTTGCACTTCCTCCACTCACCGTATGCTGTAGAGCACATTGCCATTTTTGGAGATGCGCAGCAGCTTGTTGTCGGTGGTAACCTCGTGGAAATTGGCCCCCTTCTCATTAGCAAAGAACAAGTCAGGCTTCCAGATGGAGTCCAACATGGAGGGGTCGAGGTCCAGTGAGTCGTCTGGGTACTCACTGTAGGCCAGCCGAGGGTCGTTCCACTGCTGCCTCAGGAAGATGTTCACTCTGTAGTCCTGAGAGGAGACGGAAAGAACAGAGGAAATTAGAGGGAGGGAGAAGGACAACGAAGGAATCTGAACACTCAGAATCTCTTCATCTACCTTTATGGATGAATGAAAGCATGATCACATAGGAACTCACAACATTTCTCTGGACCAAGGGCTGCTTTAAAATCATCCTATGAATTAAAAATCGTTTTATTCAAATGCAATGTGCAAATGTGCATCAGTTCACCACCAGCACAGTTTGAAACTACAAGTAGTCGTGATGAAATACTTTAGCACCTAGTGGAGTTTTCTTTGTTACTTGGACACTTAAAATAGCAGGAGAACACTTTCCCAAATTATTGAAGCAAAATCTGATGTAGCATGTGAATGTTAGTAGAAAGCTTCATCTTTACAGTGTGTTGTTCTACTCCGCTCCTCACAACAAAAAAATAAAACACTGCATTCCAAAATGTCCCATCTGTGCATGATCTTTTTTGCAATATTTCATTTCTAAGCTTGAAAGCGTTGAGAACTAAAAGTATGTGGTCAAGGTTAACAGGAACACACACACACACACACACACACACACACACACACACTTCAAATGATGTGTCAGAAGATAAATTTAACATTCACTTAGAGGAAGATCACCCTTGTGAAGGGATGTGAACAAAGTCCTGCTTTATACATGTATCCAAGGTTTGCAATGTATAACAACGCGAGCGACTGCAAAATGTCACCTGTCAGGAAGCTATAAACTCAGGTCAGGTGTTAGAAGACCAGTGCTGTCATTTCTCAGATGAGGAACGTCTCCTTTCAGACGCTGACACAACTGATTTTCACTTTTCTCGAGGACAAATGTTCCTGCTCCAGATGAATAAGTAGGCCAGCAACCACTGTGAAAAACACTGTGACGTTTCTGCATTACAAACGAGTACAACAGGTACAGGATGGATTTTGAGGAGACAAGGACAGACCATTCTTAATTTGTGATGGAACTTCAGTTTCAGTTTTGGGTTTTGAAGCCTCATATCTAAAACATGCCTTTTCCAACAGTAAAAATCCAGTGTCCGATTTTGGAGCCTGTTCAGAATCTAATGATCGAAACCTTGTTGTATTTTGTCAAAGTTTGACCAATCACACACAAAGATATTTGTTAGAACAGATGAAAAGAAAGAGCAGGATTTCTTCACCCACCGGAGCAGGACATAGACCAAGCTCTCATCCTTTAGCCCATATTATTCTACCACCATCACTACAGCTGTGTTTCTCTGGGGGTCCAGATGAGACAGGCTGGAGAGAAACTGATTCAGCAGAGAAATTCAATTACAACAAAACAGAAACTGTTATAAAGCATAAATCCCTGAGACACTGTGGACACAAGGATGTAAAATGGATTCACTGGCTGGTCAAGGGTCATTACACCACTGAGTCAATATGTTGTAACTCCATATGGAGGAAAGGAAACTGGAGTGATGGGCAGGATCGCGCATTTGGATGAGCATGTTGTTATGGGTCTTCAACTGTACTGTCATTTTCTCCTTTGTGCCACTTTTACTGATCACTGCGAGATGTGGCTTCGAGTCATATCTGAGATCTTCTGTCTCTCACTACTTGAAGTTTATACTTTCTCCAGCTTTTGGCTTTTGTTTACTCTGTATTCTGATTCACGTTTGCTCTTGGAGATGTGTTCAGCATTGTTTCACTGATACTAAAATACAGCAGTTTTCCAAAACAACAAAACAGTTAAACCACACAAAAATATGAAGCTGCCAGAACAAGATAGGCAGATGGATGTGGAGAAGCGTCCTGGTACAAAGGCAGAAGGCGGCTGAAGGTCACTGAGCTGCTGCTCCCTCTTTAGTCTGACACACACAGATGGAGAGATGAAACTGGAAGACAGACAAAGGAAGAGATGAACAAAAGACAGTGTGTTTTTCAGAGCTGAGGTCTGTGGGCGGGGGTATACATTTCAGACTAGAGAGCCTTTGAAAAAGAGATGGTAACAAGTGATTCTTTTGAAGGCAAAGTTTAGGTAAACAAAATGAAGATGCAGATCATTTAGCCTACAGTGCAACAGTGCCAACAACAAGGAAGGAGGCTCTACTTGGATTTGAAACAAAGCAGGTGTTTCTGATGCAGGGGTATAGGCAAATACTGTCCACAAGCAAATCAAGTGACACTGCTTTGTTTAGTAAACAAGGGCAAAAAGTCTCTAATATTGTTGTTGATGGAAAACAACTGACCAGGCAGTCGGAAAGTGGAAATCTAGGGTTTTTGATTTGTTTATATCCCCCTAATCACACACTAGGCTACACTTCCAGCTTCTCTATACTTAATAAGCAACAGTATGCCCCGCCCTGTCTCTGCCTCTCATACACTGACCCTGATTTGCATTGGTATTTTCACTAGTTCACTTGAGTTGTTGGCTAAACTGAGATACAGGGTTTTAAAATGCAAATGTTTGCTTCCCCCCTCTCTTTCTCTCTCTCCATCCACATGTGCAGTGCAGTTGATTCAGGTAGATATTAACTGCCGTTCCCTCAGAGATTTATTGTATAACCCCTCCACCGTTCCCTGTTCCACAGTCAGAGATGGAGTCTCTTTATTCAGCATTTGATGGCACTTACCTCACCCTTCCATCCCCCTAATTGTCAATTATTCTCCGAATAAGGAGCTCGGCGACTTCGGCCTCACTGGAGCCATCATTAAGCGGCGTGGTGTTGCAGAGATGGATTTTGGGGACGTGGTCTTGCCATGCCAGCAACCCCAGCATGTGGCATTTCAAGGAGCAATGAGCCACGGTGCTGCATTGTGTGTGTGAAATACAGGCACATGGCAATCAGTCTTCGAGAGAGAGCCCTTTACCATTTATCACTCTTTATTAGGCTGAGTATCTCACATGAAACAAATGAGCTTGACCTTTCATGAATGAGTCGCCTTTTCTTCTGCTGGAGAATATGAAAAATAACCTGAAATGGTGCAGAGATGCAGAGTAGAGAGGGAACGAGGGAATATGGAGGAGAGATACAAGCCCACACCAGTAATCTGCCTGCAGACACCACATTTCAAGCAGAAATGGGCTTGATAAAGACAAAGATGATTATGTATTCAGCCATCACATGGGGAATAAGCTATTCAAAGTCTAGAAATCCAGTCTTTTACAAATGTGTTAATCGACAGGCTAACTGCTGCCATCCAGTGTTTTGGGTGGCTTTTATAAATCCTATTACTTCTTTAGCCCTCCTGGGATCCTCACTGTCATTGGGCCTCATTCGCCAATATCCTCCTGTGTTTTTCCTTAGTTTTATTCTGTATTTGTTCTTAAGAAAGGTCCTAGAAAAGTCTGATTGATAGATGTGTTTTTAAACACCTGTGTTGTTACAATGATAAATTCCATTGTGTTATTAGGTTGAGTGGTTCCTATTTAGCATAGGTAAATACCTTAAAAGGGCATGAGATGGCAGGGCTGTGTGCACACTCAGGAGCCTCACACAGAAACTGAAGAGAAAAACTGAGAAAGTTAGGAATGCTACCACAAAAACTGGTGGAGCACTGGACTCAGAACCAAAGAAGAACCTGCGTAGATGTGAGATGGAGAACAGCAAACGAGCTGTCATATTTAGCAGGGTCAGTAAAATAAAACATATAAGACAAATGTGTGTAAGTGTGCTCGTGAGTGTATGTAGATTTTGTTCTTACCTATGAACCAATCTCAGAAAAGAAACCGGTGGTGACTGCCAGAATCTTAATAAATGGGTTTTAAGAAGAAGTTTGTTTCTTAAGAACGGTTGGTGTATGAGGCCCATTGATGGTCATTCTGCTCCATGGACTCTATCATACATGTAGCGCTGCTGGAAAGTCTTTTATCCCTTTATTCAAAGTACTAATTTGTTCACTTCAGGTTTTGTGTTACTGGCATGTTCTGCCCTCACCTCCAGTCCATTTGACGTTTGGAGCTGAAAATATCGTGTAGTTTTAGCAGCTACATACAGCATTGTTTCATTTGACATCTCTTGAAAGCACTTAATGGTTTGAGCATTTAATTGTTTCAGTGGAAAAACTGGTCAGATTGCGTATTTTGTTGGGTCCATAAAACCTCAGCTTCATGGGTCACAGGCTCCTCGTGGCTGCAGATGGAGGGAGATTAAGTACATTAACCAGAGAGGGGAAACGCAAGACTCTGCATTCTTGGATCCAAATGACGGAAAAGTAATTTGTGGGAACAAATTAATGATTTCGGGGAATCATTTAGAATTGGAAAGAATGAATGACTCATTTTAGAAATAAGTCGGTAAAAACTGAGGCCAGGAAAGGCGCTGCAGGATGTGGGCATATGTGCAGTGGGGGCTCCCTCAGTGTCTCTAGGTTCATACTCATGGCTTCATAGCTTGACATAAATCACTGAATTGCAAATTGTTCCCTTGAAATTACCAAGCACCACAACCACCACACTGCTATGAAATGCTGTACTTACACAGTAGCATGCTCATTTCACCATGAATTAAACTCAAGCAGTAAACCAAGCATGAAGAAAAGCTGTCTTCTTCCTCCTCCTCCTCCTCCTCCTCCTCCTCTGCTCCTACGACCACTGCCACAACTGCAGAAACATCAGCAGTCAAATTCTAATTCTACATCTGTCATGACACCCTGCTGGCTCCCTGGATGCTGCTCAGGTAGGAAGAAGAGGGAGGAGGTTATGGAAGCTCACAAGTTATGGCAGCACATCTGCTCTGCTCAGACAACACTACACCAAGAGAGAGGAAGCTGTTGTTTTCACTGTGTGGCCTCAAAATAAGCCACATCACCACCAGCAGGAGCACCGTGGGATGTCAAATAAATCAACAACAGCAAACTTCTCCCTGGATCTTGATGTGATTTTGTGCTGTATTTCCCTATGCAGGGCAAGGCAAATTTATTTATACAGCACTTTTTTTTTTACACAGATGGCAATTCAATGTGCTTTAAGTAAAGTAATAGAGGATTTAAAGAAAATAAAAAATACACAGACTAAGAGCATCTAAAAG